TTGTGAGTGGTAGGTAAAAGTTCGTTAAAAAAATTCGGTACATGTAGCATGATCCTTGATGGAATACACACACATTTTTGGATTTCATGTATATTTGGTAAAACCTTTTGTAATTATACGATGTGGGTCCTATAGAATGCGTGGATCAATAACTTAGACGTTTTCATCAGTTATGTGGTTATAGATAACTTCAATAGTGTGCCTTAGCATATGGAACTAAACTAACAGTAACTTCTTGTAATTGGAGTTCTGTATCACTTTGGATCCAAAAAGAATTGCCATCTTGCTATGGAAGGTGCAAGTTATTATAAAATTTTGATAGATTTGTTTTATTTTTCGTACTCGTCATTCATTTAGCATTTTGCAATATCATAAGAGTCAAATCGGGTTAGATGGTTCAATTTGAATAATCAGGGACCGGTTCCAAACAATGGAACATTATAATACAATTATTGCACTAGCATACAATTAAGAACACACAACAAAACCCAAACAATGAAGTCAAATGGTAAAAGAACGAACTTTTGCAGCTAAAGAGCTTGTATGAGATCGTTGATTTAGGAAGTCTTGTCTTCTGTGGCTTAGTGTCGAAAAACAGCAAAATATGTCTGTACCGTAGTAAGGGCAAGGACGAAAATTGCACCTAGAAAAGCCAAGAGAGCCCAAGGACTGCGAAAATGGTTGTGCATGCATTCGGCCATCCAGACTTGTACTCTATCCTGGTAATGATTTTCAATCTGATTCTTTGCATGTGCATATGAAAAAGGATCAGGTACCAAATCCTTAGCTATCTCGTTAAAGAGTTGTGACAATTTTTCATCACTGCCTAAATAGTTGACAAGAATTCTTTTCTTCCTGAGCTCTTTAACATCATCAGGATGATCAATGAGTGAATCCATTAGACAAATGTATGACGTAATGTGCAAATCAGAAGGGCCATGGGGACACTTTTCATAAGCCACCAAGTTTAATAGCAAAGATTTTGTTGTATCGTCAACAATGAGTGGAGGAAGTGTAAGAGTACCATAAATAAGGTGAGATTTGAATTCTACATCAGTAAAATTTCGAGTTTGGCTTGGTTTAAAATGAATTCCTGCTGATTTGAGCTCAGTTACTGAACGATACGATTCCCATTGGACAAATGTGTTCTTGTTTTGGATTGCATACATATATGGATTGATGAAGTGTTCCCGCAGTAGATGTAGAAGGTGAGGGCTTGAATCCAACTCTAATTCCCATTTATTCATTTCTTGATCACTTGTAGTGCAGCATCCCTTCATTTGTGCAAGAAATTTCTTGACAGCATTAGTGCATGAATTTCCCTGAGGTGGCATTGAGACGTACGGCTCGAGGAGCTTCTGTTTAAATAATGTCTGGTCTTTTTCTCTTCGAA